ATATTATTAAATGACCTCTCTTTATATTTCCCAGAACAAACTTTGAGTCTATTAAACTAACACTTGCTGACTGAGTTGTGAAAACTAAATCTAAGGTATTTATAAGTTGATCGTCTGACAGCTGGAAAGTTGGTATGTTGATATGCTGGTAAAAGATATATATATATATATTATATGTGTATATATATAATATATATATATATTACATATATATATATATTATATGTATATATATATAATATATATATATTACATATATATATATATTATATGTATATATATATATATATATATATATATATATATATATATATATATATATATATATATATATGTATATATATATGTATATATATTACATATATATATTTTATTATATATATATATGTATATATATTTACATATACATGTTTTAGATATTACATATACATGTATTAGTATATATATTACATATATATGTATTAGAGTGGTTTTTTTAATATGCAAAAAATATATTTGAATTTTAAATTGCATGACCTGTTATTTGGTGAGGTTTAATAAAAAAAAATATACAGGTAAAAAATATGGATGGGCTGAGTTAGTTGCCAACAGGTTGTGTTGCTCTACGTCTACGTCATATATTAACCTTGTGATGATTATAAAGAAATTGGAAGACTAGCACTTCTCCTTTTGAGAGAAAATGATGGCACAACAACTATTTGCATTCCTGGGGCTTATCATCATGCAAGATGGTACAATTGTACCTTTGTGAGAGATGGATGGCTAAAGGCATATAGTGTTTTTTGTCATCAATCAAATATCACAAAGAAAGAAATTATGATTTTAAGAAGAATATGTCTCTTCATCAATCAATCATATATATTCTGAAAAATAATTTCAATTTTTTTTTGAAAAATTAACTTTTTTACATTAGAGGCTCAAAAATGATATTAAGAAATTGTGTTTTTAAATATGGATTGAGTATAGTTTATATAGATACATATATATATATATATATATATATATATATATATATATATATATATATATATATATATATATATATATATATATATATATATATATATATATATACAAATATATAATTGTAAAATAACAAACTATAAAAATAAACAATAAAAAACGAAAATTTTTTCATCATGTAAAAGTTTTTGAATAGTTATTTTTTCAGTTATTATAAATAAACTTTCTAATGTAATTATTAATTTAAAGATTGTAAAAATGAAAAACAATGAGGTGAATTTCACCCATCCTTATCATCTACTTTAAAATTTAATGTTGATAAAGATTAATTTAACTTTTGTTTCAAAGTTATGATCAACTTTTACCAAACATTCTGATAAATCTAATTGGGGAATTTTAAAAAATACCGTATTATGCTAATCAAAGCAGATATCGTGTTAATCTAGTAAAATGTAAAATGTTAGTTAAATATCATATAAAATATTTTATTATATATTATAATATATTATTACAGTTATTAATTATTGATTGATTAAATACATTATATTAATGTCTTTATATGTTGAATAAATTTTATTATATTTGAGTGTGAAACATAAATTAATATTGAATGCAAAAAGTTAATAAACATACCAAGTCAGGAAAAACCTTTTTTATATCTACCAAATTTTCATGAAAAGGACAAATCAAATCTTTCTTATTCTTTAAACAGTCTAAAGCATGTTCAAACTCAAACAATGACAAGTTAAAACTTCTTGATCGAGAATTATTTTCTTCTATTGCACTCTGAATACAAAGATTACAATAAGAAACTCTTTTAACACATTTAACACTAAACTTTGAAAACCAGTCAGAGAGTAGCTTGTCAATACAATCTACTGCAGTAACCAATACTCTGCAAGCTACAAGATGATTATCATATGTAATGCTGGTAATTTTGATATTGCTGGTGTTGTCAGTGATAGAATTACCTTGACCACTAATCTGTGATTCTTAAAATAAAAAAAAAAAAATTTGACTCATTATGACATCATATTAAAAATTTAAAACTAATATTAAAGCCAAAAAAACTCAAGTTACTTATTTTATTTAAGTTATTTATTATTAATTATTATTATTATATTTAATATATTTTATATCTAACTTTTATATTAACTATATATTATGTAACTATATATTAACTAACTATATATTAGCTATATAACTGTATATTAGAAACTGTATATAACTGTATATAACTGTATATTAGAAACTGTATATAACTGTATAGAACTCTATAGAACTGTATATTAGAAATATAACTATATATTAGAAATATAACTGTATTTTTTAAAAATAAAACTATTTTTTTGCTTAAAAAACATAACTAGAAAAAAGGTAGCAATGAAAATCATCAATAAACAATTCAATTCATTACACACACAATAAAAGTTTCATCTATATATTTCAATAAGGTAAATATTTATAAATCCAAATACATTAGGAGACATTAAGGATACAGAAGAAACAAAAAATATAAGAAGAAAACTACATAATAATTTATAAAATTAAAAAATATTATGATAGTTTAGTATTATCAAGAGTAGTATTTAATGGATAGTTCTTTAGGAAATTTTAAAATATATTCTGCATCATTTTTTTGTTATTTTTCAATGAATAAAAAAATTTCAATAAATATCTTTAGATGATATTTTTTCAATTTCAGGGCGTATTCTGATGACAGCTGCTGTTTCTTTGCAAAAAAACAACAGATATAAACAAAACTTAACAGACTCTCTATTTATTTTGTAAAAAATGATTTAGCTGTAAGTTTAGAAAGTTTTTTTTTAATTGCTTATTTAAGTTATGTGTAGAAATTTCAATACTTCAGAGATAAAAAGAGCAGAAAAAAATTAAAAATTTAATCAAACCCTAGAAATGTTTTGAAAAGACAAACTTACATAGCCAAAATTTACAATCAATTGATGCAACTGAAAAGCTAAAAAGAGAGCGGATGTAGGTGTTCCGCAAATTTTGTAAAAAAAACTGTTTTTGCACAGTTCAGTGCAATCAATAAGAAGTCTAAATGAAAACGCACAAAAGAAAGTCTTAATGTATTTTAAAACACTACAGTACTTTTTTAAGGGGTACTTTTGCTCTGACAGTTTTAACAAAGAAATAAAATGTTGAAATGATAAAATGTTGAAATGAATGGAATAAAAGTTTGAGTTTTTTTTGACTGAACGTGTATACTTTTTTTATTAAGCTGAAAAACAATAACATATTGAATGTTGTTGAATAAAAGTTCATTATCTTAGAGAAGTAGCATTAACTCGTTAAACATTTCAAAATCTGCTTGAAGTTACCTATTTTTAACTTTACTTGCTGGCATTGGTAAACAACGTGGCAGAATATTTTTAAGAACAGACAATGCCTATATTATTTATTGCTTCATACATTTGGTTTTGAAAAGGTTTACCATCAGCCAGCGTTTGCAAACAACATGTTTTTTTTTAGAGACAGGATTTAGACATTTCGACAGATTTATTATGTAAATTTTATAGATTTTTTTTTTAAATGATATTTAATAACAATAATTTCTATAGCTATCATTATTTTAATTACTATACAACTACAATTTAAATTAATAATTACCATTGATAATTTGTATACATTTTTATTTAGGTTTAAAATTGATTACATTTTTTTTTAAAGGATTTAGTTTATAAACACACTTTAATTTTAAAAGTTGTTTATAAACAACTTTTAAATTGAAGTTTAGACTAAGTAAAAAATAATAGTTACCAAGTATTTTTTAAAAATACAAAGATTTAAGGGTTCCCCACTTATAAAAAGTTGAGCAAATCCTTTTTTATTGTTTTTTTTTTAGTATTTTTTTTTTTAAATGTTAACAAGTATATTCTACTTCAACTTTTCACACAGTATAATTTGCTATCTTATTTATACTATATAAAAAATTTGACTTGAAAAAAATTAATTTAAGGGTTCCCAAAATTAAATAATTAAGTGGTTTCATATTTTGGCAAGATCAGAAAGTAGTTATTAACCGTAAAGACTTAAACTTGAAACAATATTATAATGTATTCATAAAACATTATATATAATAGAAACATATGGGTTGAAATTAGTTCAAAAAAAAGTTTGATTGTCTTATAATAACCAATTAATTATTCTTAAATGCCTAAACTGGACGTTAATACAAGGAAAATTTATTTTTGTGTTGTTTCTTTAGCAGCGTGGTCAATACATAATTTTGAAAGTTTAAGTTGTTTGTTTTAAGTTTTAATATTAACATTATTGTTATTTAGTTTTAATATTAGTATTATTAAATAATAAGATTTAAACATAATAATATACATTTTTAAATAGCAATTTTAATATAATTGTGTTTCTTTTTTATTCTAAGTTTTGGTAGTTTTAATAATTTATTAAATGTTTTATTTACTTTACATTTTTTGTGTTTAGAGTTTAATATACAAATTAAGGTTAGGAAATACTTTCTAAAATAGAGTTCCAAAGAGATTAGACTTTTTTATATAATTTATGAGTTTTATATAATTATTACACAAGCAATTAAGGTTTTTATAATTGCAAGACTTAAAAAAGTTACTTTCAGTAAAGTAATTTGCGCCAGATTTTGTAAAATGGTATCTCAATTAGTCAACTCAGTTATGTGCTTCTCAGTTACGTGCTTCTGTTGCTTTTAAAGTGTTCTTTATGTAGTAACCATAAAAGGTTAACCATAGTAACCATATAACCATATAACCATATAACCATATAACCATAACCATATAACCATATAACCATATAACCATAGTAACCATAAAAGGTAAACCATAAAATTATGTAGTAACCATAAAAGGCTACGTTCTCATAAAGTACTGAAACTTAGAATAAAAGAAAAAAAGATTCACACAAAATTATCATCGAGATTACTTTATTGAATTTGGACTAAAAAAAAAAGTTTGTATTGGTGTTAAACTTCCCTTTAAAATGCTTTCCTTTAAACCTCTACTTTAAAGAAATCAACAAGGTAAGTGGTGAAATAACAGTGTAGGCAAAAAATATTTTTAAAGATATTTTGATTAAATTACAAGAAATTTAGAAAAGAGCTCTCTTACCAGTTAAGCCAGATAACAAATGCATCTAGTTTTCTAGATGCATTTGTTATTTTCTTTTATTGCAGTTTTAATGAATGGCAAAGTGTGCTAAAGAAGGGAAAGAAGTGCCCTGAGAAAAAAACAAACCCATTTTTTGAATCAATGAATCAATTCTGTGACATATCAGCCGCTGACACACATTACATATAACATGTATTTTGACTTGCAACCTGGAAGGAGGGTTGAGAGTTTTTACTGAACCAATGAAAGTATCCACAGGTAATTTCATGCATTATTTAAACCATGTTACTGTACTGTATTTACTTAAGATAATTGCTTTTATTTTACATTATTGTATTGTTTACCTCCAATTAGGTTGGTTCAATAATTAGTTGCGATGCAACTTATACACAGCGAGAGAAGAACAATTCGGAATGCAATGAATGCCTTAAAAACAGAGTCAATGCTCACAGCACAGCTAAAAGAAGAAAAACAGCTGTAAGTTATCAAGTAATAGAAGAAATCATCTATTTCTTCTATTTCTTGATTTATGCACAATGAGCTGTACATCTTGAAACTTGTCATGTTTGATCAACAGACTGCATTGCTTGACCCGTATCAACATCATAAAATGAAAATAAAGACTAATTTTATTGTTTTGTTTCACGCAAAGGCTTTTTTACAAAGCTGCATCTTAGTTATTGTACCAAAAATTGATTGTCAGTATTCATTGTCATTGCCGATATGCTGTGGTACCATGATACAGACAAAATTGCTTCTGATGCAGCCATTCAGTCTTGCAACAGACACCCTTGGTATTTAACTGAAGAGTTAGTTATCTTTGCGATGTTTAATGAGGACATTTTGCTTATTGAAGAACCTGCTACGGCATTGAAGTTGTACAACACCCAAAGAAGTGAAGAAATGAAGGCTAGAAGACTGCCTTTTACAAAAGTCAATGACATCAATATTCTTTCTTTTGTCTCTTTAATTGGTCCACATTCCTGGCTACTATTTAACTTAATCAAGATGACTGCAAACCAGGTAGATTGGATGGCACAAATTGCCTGTCAAGCACTGTATGAAAAATTACAACTACATGAAAAATATTGTTAAGTACTGTCAAGTTGTGAAAGACTGCGCTGAGAAAAAGGTAAGATGTTTAACTTCAAAAAATCAGGTGCGCATCATCGCGCAAGATTTATACACAATGAGCTGTACATCTTAAAACTTGTCATATTGGATCAACAGATTGCATTGCTCGACCCAGATCAATATCTCAAAATGAAAATAAAGGCTAACATTGTTGCACTATTTCCCGCAAAGGCTTTTTTACAAAGTATGAATGACTGCGCCAAGAGAGGTGTAAAGCTTATACAAGAATTTTAAAAATAAAGTTGAAGACCCTGCGCAGCTTCAATTACTACTTCAAACAATGGAAGACCATTACAAACAAGCTTCTCTTCAAGGACAAAAAAAAAATTTAAAGAATATTTGATTACTTTTTTTTAAACGGAGCTAATTGTATCAACCTTACATTAACAGAAGATAAAATGCTTAAAACCACTTGACTATTTAAATTTGGGGGATTCTCAAATTATTATTTTTTGAATTTTTTTTTTAAAGTTGAACTTTTTATACAATATAAATGGAGATAGTAACTAATACTGTGTGAAAAGTTGAAGTTGTTTAAGAATATATTTGTTTATATATATTGTCACATTTTAAAATATTATTACATTTTAAGTAAAAATACTCACAAAAAAAAAACAAAAAAAAAACAGTAAAAAATGATTTTTTTAACTTTTTCTGACGAAAGAGGAGACCCTTTTCATATTTTTTAAAAATACTTAGTAAATAATTTTTTTTTAATAGTCAATTTAACCTTTTAAAACTTTTAACCTCAATTTAAAAAATGGTGTGGTAATTTCAAAATTTTGCAGGAATGGGACACCCTAATGTTAGGTCTCCTAATTGTTTAAAATTAAAAACTGGGTTATGCGATGACATTTGGTTAAAAGTGTGCTCTTCAAAATAAATGTATAGTTGCAGTTTTTTTGACATGTTTTTCTAGTTGTTAACAGGCATAAGTTCCATGAATTTAGTTGACTCCAAATTATAAAAACTTTGTCAGTTTCTTATCAGATTGGCGTACTCGATCAAAAAAAATCAGCTACACAAATATGGTTATATTAATACAACTACATTTTCTTATTTTCTTAACTTATAGTCTTGATGGAATAACAAAACTTTTAAATAATTATCAATGTGCAAACAATTGCAAAACCTAACTAAGGCAAAAGGTCCTTGAGTAAGATGAACCGGTTAAATAAATAGCATGAGTATTTAAAAAGAAGATTATTTAGTAGTATGTTTTTTAATTAACATACTACTAAATAAAGAAAATTATTTAGTAGTATGTTTTTTAATAAACATACCTTGCATTGCAAGGTATATTTGATAAACATGCATTGCAAGGTGACAAATATTACACAAATAATGTTTTATTTCAAAATACAAACTTATATTCTTTGAAGTTATTCGTTGAAGCCTTTATGTGTCTTGATATTATATAAATATTTATATTATATTATTTCCATAATTTAAATGGTGTTTCTTGACAACATGTAGAGCAAGATTGCCAGCCAAGTAGTGTTATTTAGTTGCAGTGGCATTTTAGTGGTGTTAGTGTTAATATTTACATTTTTTTTGTTTGTCTAAATATCAACAGACATCAGTACTAAGTTGTTTTAATGTCTGTTAATATTCAATGTTTACTTACACATATTTTATACTAAGGACTATTTTTGTGTGTTATTGCTGTGTTGTTTTGGGTTGATTGTATTGACACCAAGCGGTAAGCTTCGCTAACTTTTTGGTTTCTATTGCTAAAAAAGATTATTAAGTAATTTTATTACCGAAACTTCCTGCCATTGATTATTCAAGTCAAGATTTTTATCATTCATTCATCAATAGAGTTATTCATTTTAGATCACTTTTCTTAGTAGAATATATATAACTATCAAGCAATAAATATTGTTTCTTTAATCTTAGTAGACTTTTATCAAGTAAACAAGAATATAATTTAACAATAATGTGCAATAAGAAATCAAATTGAAACAAAAGAATTTACCATATTTTCCAATCGTTATGTAAACAAAAGGAACCATTATTTCAACAACTGCTTTTTTGTTCACAAAACTTGATTCAGAACTTGAAACAATTTCTGATATTAAGGGATCTAAAAGAAAAAAAAACAAAAACAAATATATATATATATATATATATATATATATATATATATACATATATATATATATATATATATATATATATATATATATATATATATATATATATATATATATATATATATTAAGCTATTCAAGCTATTCAAGTTTAAAAAATTGTTCCAACTCTACCATACGGTCATATATAAATAAAAAATACAAATATATATACATATATTATATTTACATCATCATTGTTATCACCCTCATCATCATGATCATCATTCAAACTATGGAGCATCAAAATTCTTAATTTAAAGAGTTTCAGGTGACTTTTAATGGTGTAAATTTAAAAAAACCACCTTTACTTTTTAAGAACATGTAATTAATAATGTATCATATAAGAACTTTAAACCAAGTTTTTTTTTTATTACTATTACTATTAAATTGTTTTTTGTTAAATTGAATCGTAGTTTGCATTTGTATGAAACTTGCTTTGTGAACTGAAACTTGTATACAGTGCTTTGTGAACTGAAAATTAGTTAAAACATTACCTATATTTTTGGACATATTTTTTGAATATATAAAAGTGCAATTTATTTGAAAAATACGACTTATTTCATAGTTTCAGTTTACTTTTAAAGAAATGTAATTTTTATCATAATTGTAAAAAAAATCAGCTGTCAACAACCAATGACATTTCAAATGCTCAATTAACTAAACATGACTGATATTACTAGATCTTGTTAAAAATTTTAAGGCGGTAAGAAAAATTTTTTTTTTCAGATTTATTGATAAATATGATTAGGTACAGATGAGGAGGCTACTTGTGGTTATAACCCTCTCAACTTTATAACTCCAAAACACAAACCCTGATGAACAAGGCCGCTGCGTGGAGAAACAAGTTGAGTGCGGTACTACCAGGGACGTGGTGGGATTGAACCTCTTGCTTATGAAGCGAGCATTTTACCACTACACCACTACCGCATTTTTACACTGAAATTAGTTAATTTAATTAACTCCCTATATTTTTGTATTTTATCAATTTAATCTCAATTTTTTCCAAAATTTTAAAAATATTTGGTTTCTCTGCAAGGTAGTGCTAGTAAAATATTGTCTTCAAAAAATGTTAAGTAAAATAGCTTTTCTGACACAAAGTATACATACAGTTTGACCCATAGAAAGCCACTTTCGAAGGTAGCTCACAAATTCGAAGCAACCTGATCCCAAAACAAGAAATTTCAATTCCAGTCTTCCAGCAAGTCCAATTTATTATATCTTCAATTTTTATTTTGTCTAAATTTTCTGAGCTTGCTGTGTTATCACTGTGCAAACCTGTAGTAGCTTTTAGACCAAAACATCTTGACAAAGCTTCAAATAGATTTTTATCCACTCTTATTCTAAATATTTTTAAAGAATAGTAAAAAACAAATACAAAAAAAAAAAAAAAAAGAAAAATCATATATTAGTCTTTTAATCTTGTGTGTTAGGATTACATTTTCATCAACCTGGAGCCTACCATGAAGTCAAATACAGTTAAAGTATATTATCAAAAAAAAACTTAAGAGAAAAATACATTTTTAAGTTTTTATTACTTACTTAACAAATATTTTCTTATGATTCATGACAGATGCTCTAAACCTTCTGACCATAAGTGTAACATGACAGGTGCTCTAAACCTCCTGACCATGAGTGTAACATGACAGATGCTCTCAACCTCCTGACCATGAGTGTAACATGCCAGATGCTCTAAACCTCCTGACCATGAGTGACAGATGCTCTAAAATATGTAACCATGAGTGACAGATGCTCTAAAATAATGTATGAAAATAAATGAATGTGTCAATGACTGCTGAAAAAAATATCTGACTGATCAACGACTTTGCTGGTGAAAAAAATAGAATTATATGGTCACCATAAAAAACCCTAATAAAGACATGAAAAAGAAGCAGCATCAGAAATGTTCAAATTTTTAAACTGGAAGTATATATTATTATAAGAGTTTGTAAAATTTTCAAAAAATGATTTTTTTTTTAAATGAAATTTTACTTAAGTATATTACTTTTAAATAAAAAAAAAAACTTTTTTTTGTATTTTCAGTCTATTTTGATCTTAGAGAATGGGAAAAACCTGAGAGTTATCTTTTTTTTTGTACACCTCACTATATATACATATAGTATAATTTGGTACACCTTACTATATATATTATATATATATATATATATATATATTTATATATATATATATATATATATATATATATATATATATATATATATATATATATATATATATATATATATGCAGTAGGAGAGATAAGTATCCAAAAAATCTTTTTTCAAAAATAAACTTCGACAACTTGACTATTATTTAATTGACTATTATTCAATTGTTCAACTAGATTGAGATCTGGAGTTTGAGGCAGCCATTCTGCTTCTGGATAAAAAACATTTGTGGTTCTTTAGCTGAGGTAGGAAGATGAAAATGTTGACGCAAACCTGAAGTTCAAGAGCCCACAATTCCAGATACCTGGTTCTGTTCCAACTCATCAATCCCAGACCATAATACTGCCATTAACAAACTTTATTTTTTTTGACAGCAAATAGTAGAATGTTTTATATTATTTAGGTGAGTAAAAGCTTTTTGTGTTTTAATTGACATATCACAGTCAGAATTTTCATCAAAAAAGTAATCTGAACTGTAATCCATTAATGTATCTGTAGATATAACTTTACTTTCTTTATGTTGTTTAAAGCACCTTTTTTCTTCAAGCTTGCATTTTCTGTACTTTACAACTGCTTTCTTATTATATGCTTACATTAAGTCTTCTGATATCATTAACATCTTTCGGGACCTCTCTGGTTTATCAGAAATTGTTTCTCTTCATTTATCTTGATGAGACAATCCATTTCATCATGGGTAATATCAAAAAGTGTATTCATCTTGGCAGTGAATTTTTTTGAGTAGCTGATTTTCTACTTCTGTGCTTAGACACTTGACCATGTTGTTTGTGAATACTCTATAGTTTAGCAACTACACCAGGCTTTGTTGTAATTGGAATACTAGCCTAAAGCCAGAAAATCATAACTTTATTTGCAACTGTGTTGCAGGATATTGAAAAAGTTAACTTTTTGATTACCATTACATAAAAAACTCTATATAAGGCAATACCACTTGTTGACAACTAACTCAGCCCATCTATTGTTGAGAGAATATGTCTAACTAGAAAAACATTTGTAGCTGAACATGTTATTTTGTCTGAAGCAGCCATTTTCTTAAATAATATTTTTATACGTTTTACTATAATAGAAAAAATATAATAGAAACTTAATAAATATAAAGTGCTCAAAGTCAAATAATAAATCTTTTGTCTTAGATAATGATATTTTTTCAATAATGAAATCAAAATATACATTTAGGAGCAGTTTTTGGTAAACAATGCTGAGAGGGTAAATCTAAATTTGCTTGTATTGTAAATTGCTTCAGTCTGTGAACTATGTTGTAACATTATAATATTTTATATTATTTGTTTTTAGATCAATTTATAGCAGTATTTTTTATGAAACAAAAATAGAATTACAAAATCAAGTTTATAGACAAATTTTGATCAATTTAGGTTTCCGAAATAGGGTTTGGGGGACCACTTCCCATTATCAGTTTGCAAAAAAATTTTTAACTATATACTTTTTATATCAAACCTCACCAAATAAGAGGTTGTGGAATTAAAAATTAAAAAAAAAAATTTTTTCCATATAAAAAAAAACCACCCGTTTTAATGTAAAAAAAGTCTCTTTTGACTACAATTTTGTTACCTTGATAATTAAGCTACATTTTATTGTCGCCGAAATGTCAAAGCAATTAAATTAATGCGGAAGTACATAAAATTTTATCGTTTTTAAAAAAACTGCAATAATAATGACTAGAAAGTTTTTTTTTAATTAGTGGTGTTTTTATTTTATTAAAATTTTAAAAACATTTTTAAAACATGCGCATAGAGTTGCTACATCGACTATCTTATAATCTGCTGCTACAAGGGAGTGTTACTACATTGACTATCTTATAGCCTGACTCGCAACAAAGTGCTGCTACATCGACTATCTTATAGCCTAACTCGCAAGAGAGTACTGGTACATCGACTGAGGGTTTAGTTTGGGCAGGCAGTCTATCATTGAAGTAAAAAAAAATTATTTAAGTTTTTAAACTTTTTCTGGTCTGGTTTATTAGCGTTCTCTTTAAAACTACAGTATATATATATATATATATATATATATATATATATATATATATATATATATATATATATATATATATATATATATATATATATATATATATATATATATATATATATATATATATATATATATATATATATACTCTTGCATGTCTCTTGCATGGCATCAAAAAAAGTTTCCCATAAACTGTAGTTTTAAAGAGCGCGTTAATAAACCAGACCAGAAAAAGTTTTGAAAATTAAATTTTTTTTTTTAATTGATAGACTGCCTGGCCAAACCAAACCCTCAGTCGATGTAGCAGCACTCTCTTGCGAGTCAGGCTATTTGTCAGTTGTTGTAGCAGCACTCCCTTGCGAGTCAGGCTATTTGTCAGTTGATGTAGCAGCATTCCCTTGCGAGTCAGGCTATTTGTCAGTCGATGTAGCAGCACTCTGTTGCGAGTCAGGCTATTTGTCAGTCAATGTAGCAGCACTCTGTTGCGAGTCAGGCTATTTGTCAGTCGATGTAGCAGCACTCAGTTGCGAGTCAGGCTATAAGATAGTCGATGTAGCAACATTTACGCATGTTTTAAAAATGTTTTTTATTAAATCAATAACAAAAACACCACTAATTAAAAAAAACTTTCTAGTCGTTATAATTGCGGTTTTTTAAAATTTTTTTAAAAAACAATTAAATTTAATGTACTTCCGCATAAATTAATTGCTTTGACATTTCGATGACAATCAAAAACAGCTTAAGAGACGAGGTAATTAAAATTGTAGTCATAAGAGACTTTTTTTACATTAAAACGCTCTTTCGACTACACTATATGGGTAAATTAGAAAAAGTACTAATTATGAGTTTTTTAATACTAGTAAAAATGTTTTAAATACTATCACTATTTTCAATATATAGGTAAAAGATAATTGACTACACTTTTTGTAGCTAAAACAGAAATTTAAAAACTTCATAGAAAAAAAATATCTAAAATTATATCAATATTTTTATATATTATTTAACTTATTACACAAAATCATTTTCAGTACAAACAATTTGGTAAGAAAATAAAATTTTAAAAGATTATTAAAAAGCAAACCTTTTAATCAACATAGACCAGAATCCAGTAGGAACAAATGGCATTAAATATTGACGTCGATATATTTCATTTTGAAGGTCCTTTTCGCAAGTATTTACTTCATTTTCTGACAAAAACGATGGAACAAATAATTCATTCTCGGATAACTTTACAGCAATATCAAAAGAATCCAAAAGTTCTATGCCTTTTGAAATTGGGAATCTTTCCACATCCAAACTTTGTTTGATATCATTTATTTTTACAAATGCTAAATATTGATATTAAAAAAAAAGTCAAAAAATCATAAAAAAACAAACCCGTGAAATTAAAAATTAAATAAAATTAGTTTAAATTTTTTAAAAATATTTAAGAAAAAACCTTTTTATTTTAAACAACCACTTGCAGGAATGAAGGAACATTATGGAGAAGGCTAAACCTTTTTATTCATTTATTTTATTTTATTCTCATATATCTTACTAAATAATAGTTCATAAATTAAACAATTAGGGTTGCTACACCCAAAAAAAAAAGTTCATGTTTTCTCCACAGAAATACTACGTTTTTAAAATCAATCGCAAACTTATTGATTGTACAAAAAATAAAAACTGAAAATTTTTTTTATCCAGTTACTGAAAGTTTAAAAAATTTCAGCAGTGTTCTGAATGATGAACGACTATTTATATTATTATTATTATTTAGTTTTGTTATTATTTAAAGAACTCAAATATATATCTTTTAAAGAACTCACAAACATATTATAAAATAAAAAAATCTAACCATTTGCTTGAGATCGAATAATTCTCATCATAAATAAAAGAATATCACACAACCATTGTGGATTGAAAAAGTAAACATCATTAAGTGCAGGAACATCAAAGTGTAAGATACTACCTAAAATATTTTACAAACATTTTTAACTTTGGCAAAGTTAAAAAGTGATATACAAAAAGTGTGAAGAAAAAAAAATCAAAAAGAAGTGAAGGTAAAAAAATGGGAAGTGGCAAAAAATATGTGATGTTAGCCATAACAAAAACTGTTATATGTAGCTGACATTTTTATAGAAAATTAATTATAAAAATAACTTAAAAAATTATTTTTATACTGTCAAGATTTCAGAAATCTCTCTTTAGACAACAATTTTTTATATATGAATGTACATTCATTGTATACTTGGGAATATATTTGCTTATATAAACACCCTTTATTGAAATACATATTTGAAAAAGAAGTAATCATGGGATTACTTTCAGTTTCCATGTTTTTTTTTGGTTAAAACAATTTTCTAAAAACTAAAAAAGAATAACTGAAAAAGAAAAAATATATACCAAAACAATGAAGAAAATGTACAGCTTCATCTAAGTCTTTATCATCATATTGAAGTTCAAAATTTTGCAAATGAAGTAATTCAAACATTTTTGACCTTCAAATAAAATAGAAAACAATAAACAGAAATATGTTAGGGTTTAGGGTTAGGGGCATTAGTACATAGTATTATATTATATATACAGTACAAAAGATTATTATGTTATGTATAAGATTGTTTTAATAAGTAAATAAGGATATAGATTATTCAAATACTGAATTTAGATTTTATCAGTAATTTTCGTTATAAATTTTTAATATGATTTTCAGGTATTTTAGCATATGTTAATGACAAAATCTTGCAATATATTTATATATGTATAAATATATATGTATAAATTGTATAAATATACATTTATTTATTGTGATGTATATATGTATATATATATATATATATATATATATATATATATATATATATATATATATATATATATATATATATATATATATATATATATATATATATATATATATATATACAGTGGTGTACACTGGATTTTTAGATGTTTGAGTTAATACTTATGTCAAATGAGAGTGTTTTGCAAAAAGTTGTGGTGGTTGGAGCTTGGGGACAAAAAAACCCCAATTTTTGGGCCCACCCAGCCCTTAACGTGGGAGCAACAAGTTGATAAAATAATTTCTTTAGTATTTTTATCTAAATTTATATTCATCGACGAATTTCAAATTTTATGCAATAACCTCTTAGTTTTTAGTTTTTATGACCCTACAAAGTTTACAGCCCCCTCAAATTGAGGGGGGTTAAAACTTTATATGTTCATAATTTTCGAAAAATAAGAAACTATTGGATGAAATTTGAATTTTGTTGATGAATATAAACTTAGATAAAAATACTGAAAAAATTATTTTATCAACTTATTGCTCCCACGTTAAGAGCTGGGTGGGCCCAAAAATTGGGTTTTTTTGTCCCGAAGCTCTTATCACCGCAACTCTTTGCAAAACATTCTCATTTGACTCAGATTTCTCAGACTACAAATATTTATAAAATATATTAAAACAGATAGGTGGTGGGGATGGTTTTTTATGTTTAAAAATTTGGATTACTTTTGGCATGATATAAGTTGATGCCTGTAGTAATAAATGGTTTTGTTACTTTTTTTTTTTTTAATTTTTTTTCAAGTCTTTTGTTAGGAACCTACAATGTTTGATATTTTAGTAACATAACCAGCATTGTTCCATCAGTTTATACTTTAATATGAGTTTTTTTTGTCTGAGAAAACCAATGTATGCTCAGAGATTTGGTATGCCTAAAGTCATTTTCTTAGATCAGCCTTTGATCTTGGGTTTGTCAACTTCATAAACTGATCTCTGCACATTATGTAATACTTTCATTGTGTGTCATGTGAGGACATGTAACTAAGTTAGCTTATCTACTTTTAAAAGATGATTTTTTTATGTTATGTATAATTTATTGACAGAAGTATGAACCTATTATTACACATTCAAATTACTCCAGCTTTTATGGCTTAAGTCATATCTCAATTAAACTCTTCTACGGCTTGTGGTCCAGACAACACTCCTGTCATTGTCTTAAAAAATTGTTCTTCATAACTTTCTTAAACTACTTGATAAGTACTTGACTGAGACTTGTTTTCCTGCCTGCTGAAAAAGGTATCTGTTATTCCAATTATCAAAAACTCTAGTGAACATTCTGACCCTTTTAATTATTGTCTGAACAGTATTCCTTTTGTTATTAGAAAGATCTTTAAGTCTTTTCACCAAATCTCTCACACCCCATCGTGATTCAAAAATTTTATTGTGCCTTAGATAGAGGCAGATAGGACAATCGCTCTTGACATATCTAAAGCTTTCAAAAAGTTTAGCATGCTTGTCTTCTCCATAAGCTTGTTTCATATGGGAAAGCTTTTGAGATTATCAAATCGCTTCTTTTTAACTACTTTATTAAAGTTATCCTTGAAGACCAACATTCTTCTTTATTTCTAGTAACTTCTAGGGTACTTTAAGGTTCTATCCTTGGTCCTGTTTGTTAGAAAAAAAGAGTTATAGAGAAAAAAAGCAAGGTTCTATCCTTGGTCCTGTTTGTTAGAAAAAAAGAGTTATAGAGAAAAAAAGCAATTGACAAAAGTGACTTAAAAAGTTGTAGGTTGTACGAGTCTAGAAAACATGAAGATTGGAGAGAGCTCTAAAGGGTTGAAGTGCAGAGAAAAAAGTGCAGTGATAGATACAGTAGGCAGAGAAATACTGCTATTTTAATTAGTTTAACTAACAACATCTGTTGAGTCTCTTGGCAGCAATGATATATTATATAACTAGATGTCTAACTTCAATTTAAAAAGTGAAGCTGCTTTTATAAGTTTTTTATAATTATTAAAATTTGTTTTTGAATTATCTTTAATTTATTGGGAATTATTGACATGCATTTTTAATTTTTATTCGAAAGTTTGGCTTCAGCTTTTGCCCTTTTTACAAATGGCGGACTATTGTTATTAACAAAAAAAAAATAGCTTTATTTTTTGTCCAATAAAATCCTGCAAACTAGACATTAAGTTATATAATATATCATTGCTTAAAGTGACAAAAATAAAAGGGTTTAAAAAGTATCTTATATACTTTTCAAAATTTAATAGACTATTATTGTTTATTATTGAGTATAAATGTATTTAAAGACAAACAAAGCAATATAATATCAAACCAACAAAGAGCCTGTATCACAAATATTTATGATATAACGTAAATGTGTCTTTAGAATTTACATTGAAAAAAATTTCAGCATCACTGGTTAGAATCATCCTAATTATGGCTAGAATATATATATATATATATATATATATATATATATATATATATATATATATAATATATATATATATATATATATATATACATACATATATCTTTTAAAATTATATACTTATATCCTCATTAATAAAATATAAAAAAAGTTACATGCAAACCCAGGCCTTTTTGAAGTAAAATCCCACATGTGCTTTTTGAGCTAGCCCATCAGTTTTCTAGTTTAGGTTTTCTCTGATAATAATAATAAACTAATAAACAATCCATTGCGCAATCAGCACCTGCTAAAAATTTTCTCAACCCCAATTTTCTAAAAATACTATTACAGTTTATGCTCAAGCATGCTATAATGACTTTTACCACCAAACAAAATATAATCTTGCAAAACTATTTATTTAGCAAAGTTACAACTTTTTAAAGTAACTTTATGCTCAAAAAACTACAAAAATACATTTCACTAAAAAATGTTAGAAAACAAAATACTAACATATATTAAAAATTATTTATTGTTGTCTCTAAGAGAACTAATAAAAAAAGAAATTATAAAATGACAATATTGTTGTGTGCAATTAAAAACAACTGAGATAACTATAAATCTGATTCAGAATAAACTTTTAATAAACAGATAAACTTTTAAATACTCGAATAAAAGTGAAATTGTTAAAATAGCATAAGAAGTATGCATACATTTATTTCTACATAAAGATAAGCTAATGAAATTAGTAACTCAGCATCAGAGTTTGAATCCAGCTCTAATGGGAAACCAATAAGATAAAAACTAATGCTGAAGAACTAGAAAAAATAATATTACATTTTCAGTAATAAGAAGAAAGGCTTAACTTGTAAGTCAAACCCCTTAAAAAATTGTAAGTCAAACCCCTTAAAAAACTTGTAAGTCAAACCCCTTAAAAAACTTATAAGTCAAACCCCTCAAAAAACTTGTAAGTCAAACCCCTTAAAAAACTTGTAAGTCAAACCCCTTAAAAAACTTTGGATGTACAAATATTAATGATTATTATTATCTAATTTGCTAAGACAATAGTCACATACTTATTATATATTACCAACAAAAAGAAAAAGATATTACTAAACTTTTTAAGTAAAAAATATAGAAAAAATTAATATTTGCTTGTAATAAACAATTTTATGCCGCCAATTGTGATAATAGTTTAACCACAATATTAACACCAAATACAGATTAGCACAGTGTAAAAGTAATGATTAGCATAGAGTGTAAGTACAGTTTAGCAGAGACAAAACTAAAAGCATGAAGTAAAAAAGGTAGGCAAAAAATAAAGATATTTTTACCTAAATGATTTTCCATCAAGATAGAAAGATAAATCATTTTTTTTATCACTCTCAATTTTCATTTGGTCAGCAACCACATAGACAGCTTTTTCAACAGGAAGGTAGAACTCAGAAAAACTTTGCTCCAAAACCATGTTAGCTTATCATTTAAAAATAAAAGATTAAAATAATAAATTCAAAGTGAGTAAAAAATTAAAGTAAAAAATTGAAAAAATTATGAAAAATAATAAATATATTGAAAGAGTATTAATAAAAATACTATTTTATACATGAATATATATATATATATATATATATATATACATATATATATATATATATACATATATATATATATATATATATATATATATATATATATATATATATATATATATATATATATATATATATATATATATATATATATATATATATATATATATATATAGTTTAAAATGCATTTTACAAAATAGTGTGCTCAATGTTTTTAAAAGAACAGAACAATATCATTATCAAGTATTTTCAATTTAGACATAATTTTAAAGTCATTGTGTTGCTAAATTTTTATACGTTTATTAGTATAATGGTGTATATTTAAAGTTTATACATTTGCATTAAATAAAGAAAAATCATCTCAACTCAACTAATATCTTATCTCAGTCAAAGTTAAACTTAACAAGAATTATTTTTAGTTGAACATTCATTAAGGCAAACCAATTTTCTTGGTCCCTTAAAAATTCAAGTTATTGAGAACTAACTGTGTATATATATATATATATATATATATATATATATATATATATATATATATATATATATATATATATATATATATATATATAGTTTAAAATGCATTTTACAAAATAGTGTGCTCAATGTTTTTAAAAGAACAGAACAATACATGGCCTTCTATAATAACAGGCCTTGACGTCACGCAAAACGCCATAAAAACTGAAGGCCGATTAAACTTTCACTTACAAAAATATTGATGTTTTTATATTTGGTAGGGCGTAATGGCAGTCTGTGTTTTCTAATAAAAAATCTCTAATAAAGACGGAAATATAAAAAGAAAACCAAAAAATTGTTAAAAGAATTATATTTCAAATTTCATTAAGAGTATTAATGTAATATTAAATAGTATCAATAATAGTAATAATAATATCAGTAATAGTATCAATAACAAAAAGAATTATAATAATATATATTAGAAAGATAATTATATAAATAACATAAATTACAAAACTAATTTTCACATAAATTATGATAGCTTTAGTACTTTCGTTTTAGATTCTTTGCTACTGCTGGGAGTGGTAATTATTGCATAATTCTTTAGCAAAATATTAGAATATACTCTGCATTGTTTTTTTGTGATTTTAAATTTATATTTAGCTGCAATGAACTGAAACTGAGTAACACAAAATGTTCTGCATAAAGGGCCAGTAGCACCTTGAAATAACAAAAAGCAAAATATTGACCATTGGACTAGAGTATCTGAAGGAATTTCAAGTCCGCTTCTGTTTACGCTATTCAGACAACTTCCATATATAATAATAATTGTTAGTGTCATCATTAATCTTTATTTCGCTTTTTTGCACATAGCCAGCTATGTAAACTATAGCCACTAATGTAGATTTATTAATTGAGCTTTCAAGATCATGTATATTATCCAGCAGTTCTTTTTCATCAGTAGAAATATCTCTAAAACATGTGTAACAAGTATGACCATCAATACCATCAACAGGAATGTCAAGTTGTAGTATCAATTTAGTATGTTGAATGTTAATTTTTACAGACTTAGCGTTTATAAAGTAAGTACCTTCAGATCCCTGTCGAAGTTTAGAAAAACTTTTTTCAAGTGGATCTGTTGTAAACCAACCTAATAAAACATACTTCGCTCCATTACTCAACAAAGTTTCTACAAGATCAATTAGACCATAACATGTATGCGCTATTGCATTGCTAGTATCTAGAGTAAGCTGTTTTACACGCTTACCTGTAGGTTTCATGTAACAGTTCAGCAATACTTCGTAGCAGTTGTAACTGTTGATCACTAACAGAATGGATTTCTCCACATAATTCATTTTTAAACCGAATGCCAGCGCCAGGTGCTTTGAGATTTACAACATTCCAAAAAAAAAATAATTTTTTCAATAAATACAGCAATACCTTCAAATGCTTTATTTTCAATCTCTAGATGTGTTCTTAATGCAGCTACTGTTTCTTCGCAAAAAACAGACAAACAAAACTTTACAGATTGTCTCTCTATTGGTTTTGGATAAACTGATTTAGCTGTAAGTTTAGAGAGTTTAAAAAAAATATTGCACTCAGTTTTATATAAAGTTTATAAATCACTCCATTTAGCCAAAGCTAGTTCTCCATTGTTCAAAAATTGAAGTTGGCCAGTCTTTTCTGTTAACCAATTGTTTCGTATAGATTTCAAGAGATGCACATAATCATACAATAAATATATACCTGATGTTGTTAACCATGGTTTATTATCAACTGTTTCAAACAGTTGATAATAAACCATGGTTTACAACATGGTTAAAACCATGGTTACCATCAGTAATTATTGCCAGTGTTTTACTATTTTCAATATTATTTATTGTATCAACAATTTGTTGACATTGAGTAAATTGAATTTCAGAAGAAAGATTTGCAACAGGTTGAGCTCTACATATAAATTCTGAACCACCAAAAAGACATTTAATCATAAATGATAAAATTGTTTTAGCTAACTTTTCAGGGTAGTTTACTGCTTGACCAAACAAAGCACCTCTTTGGTAAAGTAATGAAGCTTTAACATAAACCTCATCAATTAGTAGTATGGAAGTTCTTTTCAATGGATCTAAATTCATAAAAATACTATTTACAAAATTTAGGTCCTCCATCGAGCTTATTTTTGAAATCAATCGTGTTAAAGTCCGTATACTCGGCAACTTGCAGTCAATACATAAACGATCATATAAACTTCGTTGCATAGCAAAATACTCATATGCTCTACATATAATATCTGGAGTATATAAACTTCACCAATATTAACTTTTCTCATAGCATTAAGGTGCTCAAATAAAATATTTGACTGATGCGAACTTTCTTTATTTTTTAAAAATCTAACTGCTTCAAATAAAGCTGGTTTTGTTTTTATTAACTTTAATTTGTTTACAGTTAAAGATAAATATTATAAGTTGTGCCATTATAGTAAGCTACAAATGAATAATCATCTAAAATAAATAATGGAACACCAAGTTTGGACATTTTTGATTGTATGTGTAAACTTTTTTTATTAAGCTGGAAAACAATAACATCGTTATTATCACTTAACAAAGATTGAATATCGTCAAATATAAGTTCATCCTTTTTTAGAAATCACTTAACTCATCTGGTAGATTGTTTTGAAAACCGCTTGAAGTTACAGTTTTTATAACTTTACTTGCTGGTGTGGGTAAACAACTAGTTGGTATACTTTTAAAAACAGATGGTGGATTTAAAGGCCGTTGCTTCCCATATTTGCTTTTAAAAGGTGCATCATCTGGCCAATGGAGTCGACACACTGCTGTATAGTCTGAAACAGTAAAACCAGTTCTTGGGATAGCATCACTCCATCTTTTTCTCTTCTCTGGATTCTTCGGGAATTTGTAAATTGATATTTTTGTTGTAGTTGAGTAATAGTTCGACTTGCAAAGAGGTACACAGCATTTTAAAGGCATTTCAATTATTAAAATATCTATAATAATTATTAAAATATCTGTAATAAGGCCAATATTAACGTCTTGAACCTAACAACGTCTTGAAGTTGCGCTATCTAATTTATAAACCAATCAAATTTAAAAAATTTATTAAAAATGCGCGAACGCAAAACTTTCGTCAAACGTTAAAAGAATGAAATGTAAACACAGTATTAGATATCGGCCTTCAGTTAAACAACTTAGTTGCGCGATGTCAAGGCCTGTTATTATAGAAGGCCGTGGAACAATATCATTATCAAGTATTTTCAATTTAGACATAATTTTAAAGTCATTGTGTTGCTAAATTTTTATACGTTTATTAGTATAATGGTGTATATTTAAAGTTTATACATTTGCATTAAATAAAGAAAAATCATCTCAACTCAACTAATATCTTATCTCAGTCAAAGTTAAACTTAACAAGAATTATTTTTAGCTGAACATTCATTAAGGCAAACCAATTTTCTTGGTCCCTTAAAAATTCAAGTTATTGAGAACTAACTATATATATATATATATATATATATATATATATATATATATATATATATATATATATATATATATATATATATATATATATATATATATATATATATATCTATATATATATATATATATATATATATATATATATATATATATATATATATATATATATATATATATATATATATATATATATATATATATATATATATATATATATATATATATATATATATACATTTACTAAAGCGTGTTTTGATGAGCATTTGTTCACTTTTTCTGTTTACCTTAAGCTATACCATTTTTTTCGAAAAAGAAGAATGATGACTGAAACAATTGATTCCCCATCCCAAACCCTCATTTGATGTAGCAGCACTTCACTGCTAGTCAGGCTATTTGTCAGTCGATGTATGTACTGAAGACCCAGAAAAAGGCTATTTCAGTATGATGTCAGATTGCTTACCTTAGTACGCAATACTATTTGTATATATATATATATATATATATATATATATATATATATATATATATATATATATATATATATATATATATATTTATTTATTTATTTATATATTAGGGTGGGTCATAAAATTTTTTTTTAGAGTTGCTAACCTGGCTATGGTCTAGAAAGTTGTTTTTTTTATGTACTAATTTAGGAAAGTATTTACTTTTATGGATTGAACAATGTCTTCCACCCACAACTATAATTACAAAAATTAGCAGGCCCTATTATTATTTAAAATAAAAAAATTATGTGGTGTAGGTACTCAAATAAAGCAAAATTTTATAAAAATTTTAAAAATAATAATTTTGTTCATATATAAATTATTATTTTAGATTTTAGACTATAGTTTTTTAACTAAAAGTGAAAAAGGTGCAATTTTACATGTTTTTTAATAACAATTTTTTTCGACGATATGATTTTTATAAAACGATT